AAGGAAACACGTTTTGATGAGGAGCTATCTTTATGCAACAGAGAAGAAAAAGAAAACTTTAATGAGGTCATGTAATGTAGGCTATTGGCTGAAAATATAGTATTTGTGTAAAATAAGCAAATGATAATAAGTATAAGTGAGATTAAAATTTACACAAACATAATTATTCTTCATAGTTTGTACCTCAAGAAACTTGAAGAACATTACTATTCTTAAGTGCGCATCTACCTTTCCTATTACCTTGCATGGCAGATAAAATCGTGGCCTCTGAAGAGTTTGTAAAAATGTGTTTAGTTAAATAATGCTTACGAAGCAGTTCAAAAGATGCACGCTCAAACACAAAATGGTAGTCCACTTCAATATCACTCTTACAAAAGAGACATATTTTTCGTGGCATAAAGTGTGACGATATCTGCCCATATTGACTCTACCATTTATATTAATGTTTCAAAGCTTGAAAAATAAAATACAGTACTGTCGGCTTTGTATACTTTCTATATAATATGATCATTATAGTCTAGCTTGATTAATCTGTAAACTGCCAATTTATGCTATATATATATATATATATATATATATATATATATATATATATATATATAGTCAGGTTTGCTTTTTCAATACCAATAACTCTGCTTGATGATTTTCATAAACATTTGTTCACCTTATTAGTAAAAAGACTCCAATAAAATTAAAAATGAAATGATATTATTATTATTATTCCCAAAGTACAAAATAACATTCATCGTAGCCTCCTTTTCAGAAAACTACGATATTGGTTTTGTACCAATGATACTTTAAACCTCATTCATTACAATAAAATTCAAGTCGACTAAGTAAGTGCTATATAGCAATTAGAGTTTCGCTAAATGTAAGACCTTAATTGTACGACAAAATAATGATTGGTTCTGGTTAATAAATAATTTAAACTTTACATAAATGAATTGCAATTATATGTGCTATTAAATTGGATGGATACATTGATTCTTTTGATAGTTAGAAATTCGATATGAAATATTGTTGAATCAAAAGAAAATACTGTGCAGCTAAAGTAATTTTTGAGACTGATTGATATAGGTCCCGCCGGCTGTGAAAAAGAATATTATGTAAATGATATCCCCATCATATTTTATGAGTGGTGAAGTAACCCCACTGATCAAATGGAATATCGAAATACAACCTACAAAAGATGAAAACGTTGTACGAATACAACGAAATCTAACTGGTGTGCTAGTGCCTGTTCCACAATGTGAGTGAAATGCGTCTACTGCAGTAGTGTAGTTATTGTTAACGCTTGCACTTCCTGCTTCCACATGTTGCCGCTGGCTAGCCCTAAGCATTCAGTGGTGAAAAAGGAGCTGAATATGTAAGCCTCCCTCTGGTTTTACTGAGTGGAACATCATGCCACATGTCTGTGGCATGACGCCCCAGTGCTAGACATCACTATAAACTATCACACTGCAAACATCGTAGCGATATGCCTAAAAAATTGTTAAAGCTACTTTACAATCTAAATAACACAGACACCCTTTGCCAATACAGTCTTTCCACCTCCAAAACAACTGCAGTGCTTCTTCGTGGAAACATTTGTAACTGGGCATCATTCGAACTCACACATAACTGATGGGGATCTCTGAAGTAGCAGTGGGCCCCATATGTGTGGCTTGCAGATCTACCGATGTGTGGACACAACATGGTGTTACACCAATCTACCATTCCAGGTAGTCTAATCCGGCTGACTGGATGTATGAGATCATAGTCGACCCAACAACCACTATGGCGGACCAGCAAGATGCTGCAGAAAGCCAAAGGGCAATGATGAGCCACATTAGAAGTCACTGCCATCCACTGCAACCAACGGAGTCTTCAGCCGTAGAGATTCTTCGTGCCACGGGGAACAGCCTTCCGCCGCCGAGAGAGTGGAATCACCCCTAAGCAACGACTTTCCCATAATAAAAACTCATTCAGAAGTTTTGTTGTGAAAACCATATGTATCAGCACTAGTACTTTTCACAAACCTGCACGTAGACAAGTGAGCATTTCCTCTGTATCCAGGGTAGCAGATGAGTCCGGTAGTATCCTGTATGACCAAGCAGCCACTTTTATAACACTGTCTACCCTGTACAGGGAGGAGACTAGCAAAGACCTTAACATTGTTAGCTCTTTGTAGTATGACAGTTTACTGCTAGTGGCAGACCATTCGTCAACGAGATCGAAGCGCAAAACCTAGGAGAATATAGAAATCGGAGAAATAAATTTTATATGTGCTTTGAATGTTCGTATTCTCATGGATAGAGGCACTGATGCAAGACGCCAAAGACGAAAGGCCCTTTTTGTCAGAAACCTAGAATGATACAATATCGACGTGGCAGCACTCAGTGAGACCCAATTTGGTGTAGAGACAGGAGGTGGGTACACCCTTTTCTGGAAGGGATAAGCAGGAGAAGAGGACATAATTCATGGACTGGGACTTGCCATTAGGACTCTGCATCAACTAAAGACTCTTGAAGTTACGCCTCCCTTTGGCAGGCAAACGTTTTCTGACAATCATAATTAGCCATGCCCCAAATATTTTATACCCAGATGAAACCAAGGAACAATTTTATACTGACTTCTACTATACCCTCATATCTGTTTCGGCTAATGACAATCTGTTCTTGCTGGGTGATTTCATGCGGTTTGCAAAATGAATAGCAATGGTCTGCTTCTCCTGATGAAATACGCGTAACACAGCTTTTTGATCTCGAACACCATATTTTGAAATGCGAAAAAGTACAAGACAATGTGAATGCACTTAAGCTCTAAACATTGGCACCTCATAGACTGCGCCGAAGGACATCAGAGATTTGCTCGTCACTAGAGCCATATGCAGATCAGAGTGCTCGACTGACCACAGACTTGTCAAACCATTCATAACCTACACACCATTCCTCACCATAATAAGCGACCAAAAAGGTGAGACCTTTCCTTAACACAAGCAAGTTATATCACCAGAAGCACAAGCTGAAACTCCAAATCAAACATGACAAAACGAGCTCCAAAATGTTTTTTTTTGTGCAACTAAAGCTGTTTATCGTCCTTTCAGATCTGGATCCAACCCTATGCTTTCAGAAAATGTCACCTAAATAAAACAATACACAGAAGAGATAAAAGCAGGATGGAAGGACACTGTACGCAGCTCACCAATCGCCCATCCATTGTCGACAAAGCAAGACTACAACAAGTCCACCAAAGACCAGTCTGTGAAGAGCCAGACTTGCTCCCATCTGTGGAAGAGGTGTGGAATGCTGTTGAATAGAAGAACTGTCACATATCACCAGTCAAAGATGAAATCGCTCTTTAGGTATCTGTTGCTTCTGACACACATAAGCATTTGCAGCTTTTCATGACGTCGTCACCAGCAGTGATGATGAGATCTCTGCAGATCTAAGAGACCCAACTTTCATTTCATTATACGAGAATAAATGCGCTAAAGCTGACTGCAATACCGGAATTTCTCTGCTCTCCATTACAAAGAAGAGTCTTTGCCCGTACCATCCTGATCCGACTTGTCGCAACCATCTCAGATGATCTCATACCTGAATCACAACGTAGATTTCATTCAGGCCGAAACACGGTCAACATGATCTTTACTTTGATCATCGACTTCACTAAGGTTTATGACTCAATGGTTCGACTTTGGAAAACCTGGCTCTACCAGGACTTTCACCACTCTTATCCAGTTGTTCACAAACGAAATGACAGGAGTTCACAAACGAAATGACAGGAGAAGCCATAGTTAATGGGGAGTACTCAGAGCACATTCGCGACTCTACCGGTTGTGTGCTAGCACATGTGATATTCAACCACTACTCCACCCAAGTCGTACTATGCATTGAAGGACCTAGACATTAGTGTGCATCAAGAATTGCACTGAGGAATCCAAATTTGATCTGTGTTATCTCTCTGCGAAAAAAAAAACGAAACACGACTGACTTTTTGATGCTCAGTTGCAGATGACTGTGCACTAATTTCACACAAAAAGCCACCTACAGACCAGTGTGAATAAGTTCTCTTAATTATGCGGGCTGTTTGATCTGACAATAAACCTGCATGAAACAGAAGTAATCCGTCAACCATGTCCTTACACAAACCCACTGAAACCAACTATTAAGATCTTGGAGAGCTTTATATGCCTGCGAAGCACAATGTCGTCAGATGGGTCGCTGATCAATGAAATTACAGCAAGGGTCCGGAAAGCAAGCTATGCCCTAGGACGACTGTGTTATGGTCCTGAAGCAAGATGACATTCGGATGCTCACCAAGATCAAGGTCTATATAGCTGTTATCCTCACCTCCCTGCTCTGTGACTGTGAAACCACTGTATGCTACAGACATGTGAAACATGCACTCACTACGGTCAATCATTGTCATCCGAAGTGTGCAAATTAGAAGTCATCAGAAAAGGTCAGCGTTCCTAGCGTAGAGGCACTGCTGCTGAAAGCCGAGTTCAGTTGATGTGGCCAAATCATTCGGATGGAGGATTTCAGAATAACGAAATAGCCCTTCTATGGTGAGCTCAAGCAGGGCAAGTGGAAATAAACATGCCACATGCAAAGGTACAAAGACTATTTTAAGATTAACCTGAAATGGTGCGGAATCCTCCTCATCGATCTGGACGCTTCGGCCAAGGACCAGTCTACCTGACGCATGCTCATCACAATGGCTGTTGTGGTTGTGGAAGATGACCGCCGTCAATGACTCTCAGCCATGAAAGAAAACCGGCACATCGCAGTATCACATACCATTAAGTCAACAGTCTTTCCATGATCAGCCATTAACAGATAAAACAAATAGCATGATATTTTTTGAATGATATTCCAGTCCATTAATATTCTATATGTTAACTATATGTTTTGAAAACTATCGTTTGTTAAAAAGCTCTTTATTTCGTCATTTACAAAACAATTTATGTAATCAAACTAGAAATCATAAAGAAATGAATTTAATTATGTATGACCTCTCCGGTGGCCTAATGATTTGAGCGTCCGCCTCGGATGCAAAAGGTCATGGGTTCGAACTCCAGCCGAATACGAAAAAAAGCTAATAAATATTATGCAAATGGCTGCCTCTCTAGGCGTTCAGCATTAAGAGGTTACTGTTACGTCTGGTCGGTATGGTGTCACGATAATGTGACTGGGTTGGACATTATGCTCTGTCAGCGGCATGATAGCCCAATGCTAGACATTACTATAAACTGCCGCACTGCAAACATCGTAGCGATATGACTGCAAAATTGTTTGGGCTACGTTAAAATCCATATCACACAAACACACATTTGTATGAATTTAATTTGCAATGTTTGTTATTTTTGTCTTTATTTCATTATATGTTACTGATAATGTGACATTGTGTACTGGAATTTACCTTATCTAAAATCACATTCATGTTCTACCCGACCGGAGTCATAGATTTGGCTTTAAGAATAATTTCTCTCAATCTTAGTCTAGAACGTTGAAAACTCTCCATGGATTGTCGGGTCCATCTCTTGTTTAATACACATTTTAAATTATAAATTTAGTTACAGACTCCTAATTAAAATGAAATTTTATCTTAGAGCCTTTCAGAATGAAAGTTTTCATTAGGTAATCTTTTGTTATTTGTAGAATGTGCTGATTGTACTTTAAGGTCTAAGCAGAATCAATTTTATTATGCATCCGTCCAGAAATTTACTTGGTCTGGAATTTAATGTATTAAAATAATACATCTCTGGAAGTACAAAGTTCTCTTAAAACTAACATCCATGAAAGAGGGACTTAAATTTATACTAAAAGTTCAAATAATGGTTTAATATTGGACTCCATTGTTGTGATCCAATAAATGACTTCTGGTACATCATCACTACACGGGCCACATTAATCACAACATCTTTATGGTTGGATTTAATTTGTATTTTCACTAAAGTGTATTCAGAAGTCTAATCATTAGACTTTTATACTATGATTATCTGGGATTTAATTCCTAATACCATATGTTCCTAATTTTGTTACATTTTCAATTTTTGTTCTGGAGAAATAAATTATTTATTTACGATGTTTACTAAGCTTGTTGCTTCTCGCTTCTTATATTACTTATTTTTGTAGACCATATATTCGTAATACAACCATCGCAATATATACCAATTAACCTTAAACAAGGTTACCTTTTCCACAGATGACAATGATCGTATCGTGGATGATAAATATTTTTCCTTCTGGTCATCATTCTAACTGAGTCAATGTTCTTTGACGCAACTGTCTCCGGATAAGGGTTGGTGTAAACAACTATGGTTTATATATAAGGATTACCTATCTCCGACGCAGACTTTATCGAAACTATATGGTCAGTTAATATCCTCCAGAAAGGCTCATCAAATAGTGAGGTGGTTCCCACTGGTACTGGACGAAGTTTGGTCTTATGTGCTACTCGCCGACACTGTCACGTAACAAACAAAACCTCCGAACATCACAATATACGACTGGCCACAGTATAACGCCATCACTGCTCTATCTCTGGTCTTCATCAGACTTATGTGACCTTCAAGTAGACCCAGATGTACCAGCCTCTGCTTGCTTCGGTGGCGTAATGGTATATAACACCTCATTTAAACGCAAACCTCATTTCGCCTTTCAAACTTCCGTAGGGACCCATCATACATGTGTACCTTGTCGAGAGACAAGACATAATCTTAAAGTTACCTCAACTCGCTGTGTAGCAAGTTGTCTAAGGGCGAAATTACACCAGCTTAGACTAAATATTTTATACACGTCACAATATTCAGCTGCTACAATACGAACACATACAACTTAATAATACATGGTGAGGCAACCCCTATGAACATGCTGCTTGGATTGGCCCATTTGCATACATCTAGGTCGATGTTAACGACCTAGAGCGAATCTTTCGTCCGATTAACAAAAAGCTTCAACTATCTCATCTTTTTAATCCCATGCTTAACAAATCGTATTATCAACCGATTCCTGGTGGCTACAGCTGGTCTCATAAAGCACGTTTGCCTTCTCCCCATTAATCTTAGCTACGTCTGTGCTGTTCAATTCTGGCGTTTCTCGCCTCCTTACGTGATCTTAAGTTACCGCATATGTTGTAGGGGTATCATTATCTGCCCACGAAAATAATCTCGGCAATGATTATCGACTCCCGAGCTTTCCTATATTCTCTGATGCCAAGTCTGTCTTTGCCACTCCACTTAATTGGACATAAATGTGCACTTTCATAACACTCAGAAATCATATTTATCTCATCTAAGGTTGAGTAACATAGCTCCGATAAGAACACAATTAAAACTTTATAGTACGTAATACGAATTTACTCTTCACAATTGATGCACTTGTCTTGATGCGTTAAATCATACACGTCAACTTCCTCCAATTTTTGAAAAGCATGTATGAAATTGTGAGTGTCAAACGTTGATCTTTTCGACGACTCGCTGTAGAGTTTAGGAAATGTTTCAACCGAAAGCTCATGGAACCGCAGTAGCACTTCAGAGCGTCATAGTCGTTCGGTGAAATATTATAATAGATGTCCTTCTCGGTTCCCTGTTAGGAGGCTGAAACTTTAATGGTCCACTGGTCTCTGGTTGCTGATTTAAAAGTGCAAACCTTTCGAACTGCGTTAAGAAGTTTTCGACGATTTCGTCTAGTTGTTCGACATGTACACGGTTATCTGAATTGGTCGTCTATCTTCTAATCTATTACTTTTAGAACATGAACGTTCTTTCCGGTTTTCGCCCTCCTGGACCAAGCTTCGATTCTCAGCCTCATCATCGCTCATGCATGTTCGTGTTTCGTATCCCATTCCTCCGTTAGCAATCTGGCTAACTCTATCGCTCTCTCCTTCTTTACTGATTATCTTTCTTCCTCTCGCTCCGCCGCTTGTTTGCTTTTTTCTGGCTTCGCCGCTTGTTATTTCTTGTGTTCTCTGATACTTCGCTCTACAAATTCTGTTAACTCGGTGACTTAGTAACCGAAATCGTCATCTCCAATCAACACACATTCCCTAACTAAATGATTGTCTGCCGCCATCTTGGTCGATTTGTACGCTGTAATCTAAAACTAAGCTTTCTTAGCCTATGTTACTCTACATACACTCTTATTAAACTAGCTCCCACGCGTAATAACTTACTTCTTTTACCTTCCTTCATATGGACTCGTTTAAACCGGACTATCCCTTTTTCACAAACGATCAACAAAGTGGGCAGTATTATACAGCCTGAATTTATCTCCAAAATTCGTTGTAAAGCTTTCTCGCCAAAACTATCTTGGGACTTAAGTGAACACAAAGGTAATCCGCCCGAAGAAGTCCAGATTCATTATACGGAATCTCTTCCTAAACCGCGGCTAATAATAGCCGAAATGCACTGATTAACTACTTCCTATGCAATTATCACAACATTACATGAAAATTGCTAGATAATTTGAAGCTTTTCCGTGAAATACACAGACAATTGTTCAATCCAATCTAATCAGTATTGCCTAACCTGCGCTATGGAATATATCATTATAATTACTTTACATCCTATTGTCTTTACTCCGATTATTGCACTGAAATAAATTATAAAATCATCGTATAAGCCCCTGATTGTCGCGATGCTTTTTGTAGATTGCTATCGATAACGAGAGGATGATCGACCGCGGTGTTTTTAGTCCAGATCGAGAGAACGTTATAATGCTATTAATAGACGGAATAAATGGAGATCTGGGCAGAGATAGATTTACCTGTATGCATAATATAACAATTTAATTAATAAGATACAACATAACAAAACTGTACAGACCAATTGCAGAATACACATCCATCAGGAAAATAAATTAACTAAATTACTAAAATGCAATTAGCAGCTCTATTTATATAGATTCGGGTTTCATCACAAAACCTTGTAAATTTTCGATCTTTAACTGCCCGGCATGTCTTTCATTACACGGTTCCCTCTCCAGAATCAACTGAAACTGGGGTTGACTTGAACTCTTGAGTTCTCCCCGGCATATTTATACGTCAAGCCGCCTTTTGTGGCTTCTCTCCGTTACCCAGTCTCATATTTGGTCGCAGAATCTCTTCAATTAATCGTGGAATCCCTAATATGAGTCGTGAAAGGTATTTTCCTGATAAAATAAATCAGCGAAAGTCTAATTATTTGGTCATTACTTATTTCTGACCTGATCATAAATTTCACTCGCCGTTGTACACATGATAGCCTAGCTTTATCACATTGCACAACAGACACACACACACTCTCTCTCTCTCTCTCTCTCTCTCTCTCTCTCTCTCTCTCTCTCTCTCTCTCTCTCTCTCTCTCTCTCTCTCTCTCTCTCTCTCTCTCTCTCTCTCTCTCTCTCTCTCTCTCTCTCTCTCTCTCAAAGTAAAGGAAAATTAATATATTTCTCCAATAAAACTAGTTGCCATTACTAAGAGATCCATGCTAAGCGATTTATAGGAACAATTAAATGTGTGCAGTGTGAACTATTAATCAATATCTTGAACTAAATGTGAGACACGTGCACATAGCTGGTCTAATGTTAATGCAACCAATATATAGGTTATAAATTTCATATTATACTTATAAATCGATCAAACAAAATTCATTTTATTGCTTATACTACCTATTGCTAACTATTAATTCATTGGCAAAAAAGCATCCTACTAACCTAATACTAAAAAATTCTAAGAATATATGATTCCTATATCAATTGAGACAAATCAACTCAACTAGCTATGCTAACAATCATGTCAGAGAAAACATGTGTATGAAATTAAGGTACAATACCGATTTGCTTTGAGTTGTGCTGTCTTTCCTATATCAGAAACGTCTCCTTAGATTCCTGATTATGTGTCTCACGTAACCTTTACCTTTACAGGGGTATCATCCACCCCTAGATCAAAGACCATTCACTGAATGAATTTGATGCATAATTCATTTAAAACAGGAGACCGAGCCTGTTAATTCACCCAAATTATTGCTACCCAACCAGATTTCAGATTATCAAACCATCATTATTAGCAAACCCATTAGGATCAAGATCTCTGCATCGTTTCAACTTAAA